CGTTTCGTGTAGGGAAGCTTCAGTTATCACTCTAATGAATTGTGTGTACTCCTTTATCAAAGCCTGTTATGGTATCTTGATGCTTTTCATAACCATGCTGTCACTGCTTCTATACACAAAGTTCTAATTTTATTATTAAGATACAGTGACATAGCACCACCGTAGTAGAGAAAAGAGAATGTCACTGGATTCACATAAATCATGCCTCTGCTGCCTAATCGAATACTCTACTTTCACTCACGTTAAAAAATAGAAGAATGATTGTTGAAAATGAAATATACTTATAAACGAACGATATCGCGTGGAAACGAAGCGTAGTTATGACTTGTTGATTAGCATGCCACACTCAGCTGTGTTCCGTCTATGCTTAATACTGACACTAAGAAAAAACATGTCATGCTAAAAATTAACACTTGACAAGTCTATTCTTTCTAGTTTCCAGGGAAAAGATATTTATACCCCTTAGATTTTCGCTGTACTTCATCTTATCGCGAATATCCAATAATTATGATGGAAAAGACTCGTTGGTCCTGCTTTGACATGTGAGTTATCTGGTTAGAATGCTACAGTATTGAATAGGGTCATCAATTTGGAAGTCATTTGTTCAAATCATTCTGACCTGTATGGCGAAATCCATACATCAGCATTATTAGTTTCTAACCATTCACGTTGTTCAACAATATATTCCGGAAGGTCATGACATTTTTGTGTCACACCTGTAGATCTTGGCGGGGAGGCTTCCAATGGATGCTCTGCCGGCACCACAGATGGACAGCTGAATACTGCTCATCTTCGAGAAATGTCAGTGTGCATCGTGTATTCTGTAAATCACATGAAAACTGATCATCCTGCTTAAGACATACCTGTCTATGCATGTCAACTGGTCAGGTTCAACTGATTAGGACAACTCATTTCTACGGGCTGAATTTATCTGGGTACACGGCTGATGAGCTTGGTCTCAAACGAACAGAATAGCCGTTTAGTGCTTAAATCATTTTGACCTAGCTAGTAAAGTCTACAAATCAGTCTAAATGGTTCCTAACTACTCATGTCGTACAGTAGTACGTCTGGTAAGTGAATTTACAATACTTGTTCGTATGATCGATCATCCGATCATTCGGCAGACACTGACTTTATGAGACATGAGTTATAAAATACCTATGATAATTCATCAGATAAAGTAAACATTCTTTCATAGTTTTTCACAGGAGTTTCTAAATAATGACAGGTTAGCGCACAAATTGCAATCCCAAGTCCTGTTTGGCACTGTCAAAGAGGTGAACCTACTTCTCCTTCCCCTCATATAAGGTTCGCAGTAAGATACTTGAGTAAGACTGTGCAACAATCTGAACTGTGAATAAATAAGTGAACCTACTTTCCAACTGACTAAAATCCCAATGTATTGTGAGACATTTATTTTATAAGAGTTATTATTCTAGTATTCAAAAATCTGGATAGAAAGTGAAATGAGTTAGTTCACTTATTTTATTGCGAAGAAGACAAAACATGTGAATATTGTAGTCCTTATTGTTAAATGATTCACCATCGCTTCCCGAATAGCTCAGTGGTAACGTCCCTGACTTCAACACTGGGTAACGCAGGTTTGAATCTTAGGCGAGGCATCACTTCTTTGAAGGCTGCAGATACCCTTTGCTGATGAGTGCCAAAAAGCACGAAACGTTGGTTGAGCAAAGCCTCCTGCCGACCGCCTTCAGCCGACTAACGTTTACAATGTTTTCTTGAAATAGCAGTTTACAGGAATAAAATACTCACCGTCTCAAAAGAAGAACTTGACCGCCTGAGCCAGTCTTCTGTTATGTCCTACTCTATTAAAATTAGTTATCGAACAGTAACCAATATTTTGTTCAGCTTGTCATTTCTAGTCGGAAATGATTAATAAAGTTAAAAAGTGTAGTATTTAGGACAAGTGAGCTGAAAATCTAATGCACCATATCTCATAGCAGTGACTGAGTGGTATCAAAGCCATGGATATATTTCATCTTCATTAGTCAGTACATCTGTGAAACTAATTGATTGATGTTGTAACCTGTATTATGAAATTTTATATCTTGAGGCGTTATCTATATACTACTTTGGTCAACAATAGGCTCATGTCAACTGCACATAGTCACTTAACTATCCTTTTTTCAAAGGAATCTCACGCTTACACACATGTACTGTTTACGCCCCTTTACTTAACGTATTGAATTCTCAAATCTTTGAAGGCCTAATTAATCAAAGATATTGAAAAGCATAAATGTATAAAAACACTTTTATTGTATCAAAAATTGTCTCCTAATTTATTTCTTTTAGACGAAGGTGAAAGGAGAACACATATTTACTATTTCTGTATCCAAGATACACTTCGAAAAGTGGAACACGCCTAAGCTACAACAACCTCAATTTATGCAAGGTAATCGATTCAATGGTTTTTACCCGCCCCTTCCCCCTCCAATACACGACGGAACTGCTTTGCACGCTAAAGGATATAAAGAAGCTATTTCGTTTATTTTTTAAAACAGTTACTAATTATGACCATTTAGCCTTATATTATTCCGGTCGAGTTAAAATTTTATTTCAGAGGAATTATGACTACAAAAGTGTTGGTCAGTTGGGATGAATGCACCACCTTTCCATTCTAATAGATATATTTGTATTGTTGACTCATCATTGAGTTCCTGAAGAATTCGTAATAATTTTTGTGGTACAAGTAACATTGTCTGGGAGCGAAGGCGGTGTAAAGATTATAAAACGTAGTAGCCGAGGTTCATAGGACCGCCCTCATAGGTAGACTATTCGTGATTTTATACACACTGAGTCAGTGGTGTTCATCATTGGCCTGCTGAGAATAACCGACACCAAAGTTTAGATCTCACTGAGTTGACGCTTTGTACTGGTCGAGAAAAAGTATGTATTGCTTTAATTGCTAAACGGTAGTAGTAGTAGTAGTAGTAGTAGTAGTAGTAGTAGTAGTAGTAGTAGTAGTAGTAGTAGTAGTAGTAGTAGTAGTAGTAGTAGTAGTAAACTCTCATATTTCTAGAATAGACCCACTAAAGGATAATCGTAAAGTAATTTTATCAATGAACAGTATCTCCATGAATTTTCATGCTTGAAAAACTCAGTGACAACTTCTAGTAGACGCTAAATGCTTAAACAGGATATCGATTAGTGAGTAGTGACAAATTACTAAGGTTAATTAAATTCAGTACGTTGTCTCTGATGCATGACTGATTAGAAGCGAATTCATATCTAACCTTCCTTTTAGTTAGGCTATAGATACAGGTTGCTTGCTTGACTGATACTGGTAATTTTGCGTTGCTATACTGTGTCAGACTAATCAACCTCTGTTAGCAAATGGGGTCGTGTGTGTATGCCTCAGTATTGCATGAATGTTCATTATATTGTAGTCTATTTGACGGCTAACAGTGGAATCCAGGATGCGTGTTTCATCCTATTTCGGGTTTGTCAGCTGAATGTAGCTGTACTCCAATAAGTGATGTAGTTCCCACTGGATTTCATTACTCGCTATCAAGTAGACTATTGTAGCTACTGGATTTTATCATGATTTTTAAAAAATAATTCAGCTTTATTATTTTATTATTGATAAGTTTCTTTTAGAGCTATGAAGATAGCCGATAGACCAACTTTACTTTAAGCAGCTTTGTGTACACCAACAAAAATATTTTCTAGATTGCTTTAAGATATATATATATATATATATATATATATATATATATGAACTGAACTACTACAGCTGAATGATATCAGTGTGGATTGAATTTTACCAGTTATTTCCCCACTGTTGTCAGAAGGTCAAATAAGTGGTTTTCAGTGAAAATAGTTCTTTGGATTGGCTAGTTAGTTGGTTAGGAGCTTCAGCAAGACTTTTTAGACCAAGATTTTATACTGAATTCAATCACCAGATATAACCTCAATCATTGTAGCAGAAGAAACATTTATGCCACTAAGATAGCCCATGGCTGGTGAATATCAACAATAAGTTAAAATAAGTTCAAGGATTCTTACTTTTGAGTATTCATTATGAAACTCAACAAAAAACATAATCTGAAGGTGTTATGTTTTATCGATTTTGAGTGTTTACTTGCACTCAAATAAAAAATTGCCTACTCTGCAAGGTGTTAGATGATAGCATAAACCACAAAAATGACAATCACTTTATCTTTAATACAGATATGTTTACTAAAACACCTGCAATATTCTAAAAGAAATAAGCTAGACGAAGCACCCTGAAAGAGTAAAATTCATAAAAATAACTGAATATGATTTCCTAATATTTTAACACAATTTTTAACAGGAGGTGAACCACTATAACTCTTGAGTCCGTAGTGCTGATTTAGTTTTTTTTTGGTTCAAATCACTTGTAATTAGCATGAGTTAGTGGATACTTTAAGATATTCTCTGATCATGATATTTATCTTTTCTGAATTCCAAAATTAAGCGAGTATATGATCAAAAAGTGGGTGCAAAATTCCACTCAGTTGCCTTGCGCACATTAGTGTGATAGGCAGTAATCCACACTTAGTGTGTGAGGGATAATGATACTGGCTGCTCAAACCTCGGTAGGTGAAGCAGTGTTCAGATCTATGACCAACTAGTTTGAAATTAATTCCCTAAATCAATGAGCCACAACTCCGTAGCGCGCACATAACATCCCTTCGTTACCTTCCAACCATCTAATGAGTGAGATTTATTATCTGTTCAATTTAATGAGATGAAAGTGGAATTTCAAACTCTGTTTGCAGATTAAGACACGTGTACACAAAATGTGGCATACTTTATTCAAACAAACAGGAAATACCAGTCGTATAAAATGAACGATATGTGGTAATGATGTTAGCATACTGCTAGAATATTAGATCAAGCTTTTAATTTCAGTGTAAGCCGGAATTTTGCATCAAAATAAAACGTAGCAGCATATCCACACATGTGTGCAAATACAAAGAATAAGCATAATACTAGTGGAAAACATACCAACTTACCAACAAGATCTTCAGCAGAAAAGTGTGTTGGACCTATATAAGCGATTGTACCCCGTTGTTTTGTCTTATTCAAATATACTCTGTCACCGATGGTGAAATTTTTTAAACTGAGGCAGTTACTAACATCTGATGATGTTGAATAGTCTCCAGTTGATGATGATGTATCGCATAGATTATTTGAATTAACTTTAGACAACGACGGCGATACAGATTCATCAGTTGATAAATGATCTTTCAATGAATTTGGCACAAAACGAACTTTTGTCGTTGTATTCAAAGGAGTATTGTCTATCGTTGAAGTACTTGGTTGAATAGTTGAATTTAAATGGGTTTTATTCATTACTCATGGGTATACTTTTTTCTAGGTATTCTGAGGGAGAAAGGAAAAGATTATTATTGAAAGAATATGAACAATAAATTTTGTTCAAAATGCCAACTAGAAAATAATACTGTTTCACTGTGTAAAATATTCAACAAACAAATTAACATGAAATCGTTAACCATTTTAAATAGAGGAACAACTGGAAACAAACACATGATCATACGAATTGGTTGCCAGAGGGTCAATAATGCAGCTGTCTAGTCCTGAGTGCATAGAACTGATCAAAGTCTGTGGGTCAAGTTCTGCGTGGTGACCCCCTAAACGAAGTGACGTATCACTGTATGACATTGTATTTAGGCGCTCGATGGTGTGAGTGAACCCCGAGAAACCTTGACTGACCACATTGCGAACTTGATCAACAGACTTCGATCAGTGCTAGTCACTAAGGTCTAGACAGCTGCATTGGTTACTCATTGTTGACCAATCCCCGTATTTAATCCACTCTTACAGGATGCCAGTAGGGGCTGCAATAACATAATAGTTTAGTTTCTGACTTCGGTGCTGAGTAAGACAGTCTTGAATAACCGAGGGAACACCAGGTCACTTTTCTTACTGAATGTCAATAGTTTATGTTCAGATTACACAGATTTTTGAATAACAGAGGAGTACTGATAGCGACCAAATTATTTGATGAACAGACTGAAATCTGATTGAGATAGCTGCAGTTTGAACGATTTGCATTATTGATATTGGGCGATGATTGCAGGTAAAATGGAAATCTAAGCCACGCTAGGGTTGGAACTAGTTGCATGCACGTAGTCGACCCGGTGCTCAGCTCTGCTCTGGGTTACCAGATCTACCTACTGATCGCATCTATATTTTAATTCAGCTGCCAAGAGTTTTGCCCAAGTTTCGTATGAGTTTGTGGAGCGTAGCTATCCGTTTATCGTATTCGCAGTGGTTGGCCAGCCAAGCCTTCTCGCGACCCAGATTTTCATTTCTCCTTCAAGTATTACGCAGTATCAATAATAGAATGAGCTGAATTCCTTTTATATCATGATTCTTCTCCATCTACAAACACCCTAGAATATATGGGCAATTTTTCCACTATAGAATCAGTAATATGCTTTGAGTATTGCATAAAATGAATGTAAACAGAATCAAAACTTGCCAATTTCTTGACGAGGAAATTTTCTACCCAAATAATAGTGAAACAAATTTGGGATTCACACACCCATTGAACAGTTAGATGAAATCGGTGGGAAACACCACAATTTAGTTCACGGGTGAATTCATGAAAACAAACAAGCGATTAGAAAATAAACTACGGGACAATGGAAAACGAGAAAAAAAAGCAAACCATCAGGGGAAAAAAAAAGTTCCCACGGTAAAGCTACAGTTATAACGGATTCCTTTCGAACACAATTTTTATGTTACAAAGTTGTGCAATAGTCGATGACCCAGGAAAACTAATCAATGTTAGTTTCATTGTCATTAAGCCTTACAATATCCTCTTCAATTAAACGTTATCGGAAGAGCAAGATTAGAATCAGTTGAAAGTCAGTGATATTTCAGATGCATCCATTCCATACAAACATTATTTTGTTCTATCAGCAGGGTTTAATTGTCGTTCACCTCTTTATTATGGTGAAGAAACAACGAAACTAATCAGGTTAAAGAGAGAGTAATTTGAAATAGATCAAGGTGAGATATATTAATATTGAGGTATTATTCATCATGGACTGACATCAGTTGAAAGACCATTGTGAACCTGAAAGCACTGAACAGCTGTTTCTTCATAAAATGGGGGTCCTCAACAGTACACTTCTGTGACCCCACCAGGCATTGAACTCAGGACACTTAGATTTCACGGCAAACGCGTTAACCATTCAACCAATGGGTCGGAGTTCAGTGGTTTACAGTTTCCTATTTCTTTAAATTCGTGATGTAGTGTGATTGTTCATTAGGGTCTTTAGTTGGCATCTGCTCCACTGCTTCACTGGTGATGAGTACTACGTTAAAAAATAAAATCAGCATAGACCCCAAACCATATAATATTACGTAAATGAGATATTCAGTGGACTCTTCATTTTATAAACGTTTCATTTATCAAATAAAAATCCTCTCATATCACCAGGCTACCGATATTTATGATAGCCTCCAAATGCTTCCTGTTTTCCATCTTCTAATCTATATTGCAAAAGACTTGAAACCAAATTTCCTAATGGTTATTTGGAACAACAAGAAACTGAGTAAAAAATATCAATTAGATGATCCACCTACAGTTTTTGGTTTAAAATTTGGCTGCTGTTTTCTGTCAGTTTTAAAAAAATTAACAAAATACTTGCCATGAAACAAAAAGATACTAGAAACATGCAACAGAAATTATACGAATGAAAAACATCAAAATGCATAACAATACATTTGTTTGTTCTGAATTTTTCTGAGAGCCAAGCCACATTCACCCAACCAACTATAATAATTACCATAATAATAACAATAGTAATAATAATAGTATGTTTTCTTTATTCCTAACCATAAGTTTATGTATAATACAGAATTCTCAGCAACTAGTAAACTACAGCGTTTAACTTGTGTTGCGAACAATTATTACAAGTTTAGACAAGTTTGTCAAAAATAAACTGAAGTTTAAACCATAGGATAACTAAAATAGAATTAGTTTACAAACGTTCAGAGGATGAGATTACTACTAAAAATGTTAAGAGTATTTGTGACATAAAGTGTTACTCACCAACTGAATGATATGAACTGAAACTTTCATTTGTTACATTTATTCTGCTAGTCACTATAGACTTTAAATAAGAATTGTTTTCAAATCAGTCTTAGGGAACTAATGGAAAACTGCTGTCATAATGAAGGACTTCCTAACTAAAACATATTCAGTGTTATCATTTTGTGTTGACAGTAGGACACAGCTAACACCCAGATAGTGCTGTTTTACACGTTTGTACTTAGGCTTTTGTTGAACATACAGAGAACATGCAGTGGAGTAATGGCTTATTGGTCTAGGCACCTGATTTTCAACCGACTGACCATGGGTTCGAATCCAGCTCCACCTACCGAAGTTTGCACAGCCAAGTAGTATCATTGACCCTCATGCAATAAGCGTGGTTCGTTGCCTACTACAAGAATAACCACAAGTTTGTTGAGTTGGCTTCGTGTATGTGCATAATTACATTGGATGGCAACCAAAGTGGTTACCGGCACTCAAGTGCTGAATGGAACCGATCAACAAAGTTTTTTACTGTGACTTCTAGACCGAATGATACAACGTTGTGGTGCACAAGGTCCGATTTTAAAAGTCAGTCAGCAAGAAACCCTAAATCTAATTTCTCAGCTTGTTGGTAAGTACCAACAAAGCCCATCTGCAACAATGAGGAGACTGATGTTTCTTTAGAGATTCTAAATGGTGCTAGAAACTGCTAGCCGTAGAAAATCTAACACTAGGGTGTGCAAGCATCAATTAATTTCACGTACAGTCGGATTCTAGGTAGAAATTCGTCAGCTTCTCGTCGCTATTTTACCTCTCAATTTCGACATCTCCAATCCAATTGGTGGATGTGAATACTGAAGCAGCGGCTGCAGCAGAAGAATGTTTCGCTTATACAGATAGAACATTTTGACCCAACCAGCTGATGACAGGAAGTTTCAGACCCAAAAAGTAATTAACTCCATTCTAAACAAGATATTGGTCAAAGGTTTATCACGGAGTTTAAATCGACCACTACTGCATCTAAAACTGACTAACAGAGCGAACAAAGGAATGTAGATATATGTGACAGGCAAGTTTAACAGACAGATAGATCTGCACTCTAAAATTCATTACAAGCTTGGACACAAGGATGTTTAAATGCCATTTTCTGAATAGTACTTAAAGTCTTCAGGTGTTAAGGTTGTGTGAATAAAAGAAAGCGTGAAAAATCATAAATAAAATTTTATTCAGATCAAAGAATTTTCTTGTAGTGTTATTGTAAGAAACGGAGACACTAGCTTATTCTTTCTTTTCACTACCGGGTAATCACGTATCTATACCTTCTGTTGGTCAAACCAAGACAAAATCAATAGCGAAATCGCAACTATTGATCAAAACCTCGCCTAGTTAACTAGTTCACTAGTTACTAGCCAGTCCTAAGCCCGGGTAAAGCGGAAAGGTTGGGCATACCACTAGCAACCCTACCCCGTAAAACAAATCTAACCGCTAAAGAAACTTCAAAGCACAAACAAAATATAAAAAATGAAAACAAACTTATTCCCCGCTGGAATCGGAGAGGCAAAATGACGCCAGTTGGTGAAAGCCTGCCTTCGGGAAGCCAATTGGCCGATGTGTCTTCTCTTCTCTCGATGGAAGCGAAAGTAAACGTGGGGACATGGAATGTCCGCACCATGGTTGAACCCAGCAAGGCAGCCCAGATTGCAAACGAGATGAGACGGTATCACATCGAAGTGCTTGGGATTTGCGAAAGTAGATGGAATGGGAATGGACTCTCCAAACTGTCAACTGGAGAATCAATAATCTACTCCTATACTGTTACCCAGATGACAACCACGAGCACACTGAGGGAGTGGCTATCATGATGTCCCCAACAGCATCGAAAACTCTCATGCAGTGGGAACCAATCTCCTCCAGGATCATGACAGCAAGATGGATTCAACTCAAAAGGAAGGAAGGTCACAATCATACAATGCTACGCTATGCACCTACAAATAATGCAGATGAAGAGAAAAAGGAGGAATTTTACAGACAACTTCAATCAACACTGGACAAGACGTCAGTTGGCGATATCAAAATTCTAATGGGTGGGGTGACATGAATGCCAAACTGGGAGGGGACAACACAGGAAGAGAACTAACCATGGGTAGAGAGGCGCTAGGTGAAATGAATGAGAATGGAGAATTGTTTGCAGAATTCTGTGCATTCAACGATTTGGTGATTGGAGGCAGTGTGTTCAAGCACAAGGATATCCACAAAGCGACATGGATTTCACCAGATGGACACA